CATGAGTGAACCTATTCCTGGACTGCTAATATTCCAAGAGTAGTACACCACATTTGATGGGATTTAAAGTAGAAGGCAACCAATCTTAGAGGGAAATATATTTTTACATATATATATATGCTGCCATATTGGTGACACCTTCAGGGTCAGAGGAATGAGACCCATTGTAATCACTGGTTTTGGCATATCGAATACACAACAGATAGCTTGCGAGGCTCTGCCTTGTGAGTGGAATACTCTTGGTAGCTTGCCAGGCTTTCCAAGAGGGAAAGAAGCTTTTGGGGCGACCTCTAATCGCCCTTGTAGGTGTTGCCATATTTGAACCCTATCAAATATGGTACGGCAATTCTGGAAGATGGGTATTTAGTGTCTTATAATGTGTCATGCGGTCGCTTTGCGGCCACGCGGGTCCGGAAATCGTCCTGGAGTGTGGCGGCGGCTGGGTAGTGGAGGTAGTGGAGGTCTGCCGGTGAGGTATTTATCTGGTACCGGTAGGGGTAGGGTGAGTCTTCTGTGTGTAAAAGCATGGAGTTGGAGCAATAGCACAGTGGGTAGGGCGTTTGCCTTGCACGCAGCCAACATGACTGATGGGAGTTTGATTCCTCCACCCCTCTCAGAGAACCCGGCATGCTACTGAGAGTATCTCGCCTGCACAGTAAAGCCTGGCAAGCTACCCGTGACATATTCGATATGCCAAACACAGTAACAAGTCTCAAGTCTCACAGTGTTACTGGGCCCGCTTGAGCAAATTGATGAACAATGGGAGGACAGTGACAGTGATATAAAAGCACACAGGGCTCAATCTTTAACAACATGGTAGTGATCTCTTATAGATCTCTTATAGAAGGGCTTAATGGCCCTTGGGTGAAATACAACAATCTTCACACACTTTCCTCTAAGAAAACTATTTTGGAGCATTTTCAGCAGTTTATTCATAACAAACAATACAAAATAACTTATTTCAGTTCTGCTTTGGAGGAGGGGCTCAGGTTCGGGATGGAAACATCTGAAATATGGTGGTGGGAAGGTGTAATGGTGGTGGGATTGGTGTGCGAATATTAAATGTAATCAAATATTGTGAACTACTTTATAAAAATAAAATAAATTTTAAAAAACAAAAATAGTAAGAGAGAGAGATCCCCCAAAATACATATTAATAGGCATAAAATCAGTGAGGGGAAAAGAGAATGATTATAGTGACATTGCTCTTTAGGGGGAAAAACTGATTTGCTTCCCAGATGTTTGTCAGTGACTGAATCACTCAACTATGATTTACTCTTAAGATGGAATGAACACGGGAGTGAAAGTTCATGGGAGCCACAGGTATCACTGGCCAGGAGGCTGGTGGGGGAAAACGATGCAAAGGAGAGCTCAGTGTGTCAGAGGTTTCTTGTTGCAGAACAGATGGCCCCTGACTTCACAACTTAAAACAAATGTTGGCCATCAAGTGGCCACAGTGGGTCAGGAACTCCAGGGCAGCCGGGATGGGGACCTGTAGGGTCTGTCAGCCGATGGGAGGGGAACCATCAGCCATCTCTGAGCTCGATTTCAGGCCTCTGCTTTTCTGCTCACTGGCAAGGCCGAGGGCTGGCCACCAGAGCCTGCCCACCCGGTGGTGGTTTCTTCCAAGGGGTTGTGATTCCACAGAGGAAGAGCCATATGTCCCCCACTAGAGCAGCCCCAGTCTCCTTACAGCCAACCTTAGAGGTGGGCTGGAGGAGCCGGAACGATAATACAGCGGGTAGGGTGTTTGCCTTACACAAGGCTGACCCAGGTTCAATCCCCAGCATCTCACATAGTCCCCCGAGCACCTTCAGGAGTAATTCCTGAGTGCAGAACTAAGAGTAACCCCTGAGCATCACTGGGTGTGAACCCAAAAAGAAAAAAAAAGTGAGCTGGAGAGATGGGGCAGTGGGGAGGGCATTTGCCTTGCATGAAGTCGATCTGGGTTCAATCTCTGGCACCATATTGTGTCCCAGAGCCCTACTAAGAGTGATTTGGGTGTTGTTGTTTTTTTTTTTTTGAAGGGGCACACCCAGCAGTACTCAGGGCTTACTCTTGACTCTTGGTGCTACTCTGGGGGACAATATGGGCCTGACCTGCCTATACTGTCCTCCATAGTACCACTAGGGGTCAAACCTAGGTCAGCTGCATGCAAGACAAGTGCCCTACCCACCGTACTATCTTTCTAGCCCCAGAATTGAATTCTGAGTAGAGTCGGGAATAAGCCCTGAGCACTGCCAGCTGTGGTCCCCAAACCAAACAACCTCAGAAGGATGCCCATCACCTCCTCCATAGCCCATCTGTCGGAATCACTGGTCCCAGCCGACACTTAGGAAGAGGGGGTCCTCAAAGATGGTGTATTCCAGGGTTGGGGGGACACACAGGGTCTGTGTCAGAGGCCGCCTGGCCCGCACTCTCCATGTGGCTGTCATCCAATAACGAGCAAAAGCATCCCCGGGACTCTGTCAAGTCTGCACATGGCTGTTGAGGAGCTGGAGGAGAACAAGAACGTGATGAGCTTGGAATCAGGGCTGGGGGCCAGGGGTGCCGCAGAGGGGTGCTCAGAGACAAGGCACAGCATATTCTGGGGGGCTGGGTGCGCCTGGGCACAGGTCTGGCAGGTTTCTGGCCTCCCAACAGGCAGGTGCCTTTCTGCGTGCTTTGGGCCACTTTAGCGTTTGAGAATGTGGGATCAGGCTCGCACACACTTTAGAGTGGGCGGGTGGGCTTTGGCATGAGCCCTCCTTAGAAGCCTGTGCCAAGCCCTCCCCAAAACACCTTTGTCCTCCCCGCCCCCGCCCTGCCTTCTTGAGGCTTTGGCCCCTGCCTGGCACTTTCCTCCCTGCTAACCCGCCCCGGCCCCATCCACTTAGCCCTGGGTTGGTCAGTGGCATTTCCAGGCCAATCCACTCGTTGCTTCTCCCCTTAATGAACACACATGTTCATCTGTTTGCTTTTTTACATGTTTATCACTGACTCAGCTCCACTTCCCACAGTCAGCTGATGCGCAAGCCCTTTGGGTCCATTTTTCTATGGATTCTGTTTCTCTGAGCTTGGGTAGGGCCTGGACGCCCCAGTACCCCAGTACCATCCCCTGGGCAGACCCTCATCTGCAGCCTGCTCCACCCCAACGCTGCCTCCTTCATGGGGGCTCCTTGAATGGGGACAAGCACCCCCTGGACATTCCCAAGACCAGCCTTGCACGGCTGGACTCATCCCCTGGCCTCAGGCTTAACTGAGACCTTGGTGTGGAATTCTGGTTTGGAGCCCATTCCCTTTAGAAGGTTGATCGTTGGTTGATCTCTCTCTCTCTCTCTCTCTCTCTCTCTCTCTCTCTCTCTCCTCTCTCTTTTCTTTTCTCTCGCTCTCTCCTCTCTCTTTCCACTCTCTCCTCTTTCTCTCTCTATTCTCTCCCCCTCTCTCTTTCCTCTTTTCTGCTGATCTAGAAGCAGGTGGGTGCGGCTGTGCTCCGGAGGCCATTTAGAATGATTTCTTTAACAACTTCTAATTTACCCACCCAGCTCTCTCCCGAAATGCTTCAGAGTAGGGCTGGTGGGAGGAGCCTCTCATTTTCTCATATTTTGCCTCCTGGGTCATCCCTGTCTTTTTCTGCCTTGTCGGGAACCTCCTCAGCTCATCACCTGATCCCCGGGGAAGCCTTTGTTAGACTTGCATGCCGTTCCTAGCACGTGGGCCCGATGCATTATTTTATCTCTTCCACCATCCATGAAAGGGCTTTTCCCTGAGAGTTTCTCTCTGTGAATGGTCTGTGTTTGATCCAGAGTTCTCTTTTGTTTATTTAATTGACTGCTTTGGTCGGTGTCTTCAATGTGAGAGACTTTCCACAGATGTCTGGGAATTCCTGGCAGTCTGCTTATTTTTAAAGCAGGAGAATGAACCCGTTCATGGCAGAGGGGTTCAGGCAGGAGTGAGAGCAGACCAGAGTTGTTTATCCACTGTTTTTGCCCAGTCTCGCAACTACTATTTATTTAATCATTTAAAAAGTGAAACAACACATACTCCATACCCTAATGAGATGATCATAACTATATTAAACTCCCTAAAAAAAAAAACAAAACACCCAACACCTTTTCCTCCTGAGCCTCTAAATAAATAAAAACAGGGATTGATCCGCTCTCCTCTCACCCCCGCCCCCTCCCCATCTTCTTCCAGTCCTCTATGGCAGGAGTAGTCCCCGGTCTTCCTTTCCTTTACTTTTACTTTACCTCTCTGCAGGAACAGCGTGGGGGGAGGCTGTGGATCCGAGACCCATGCACATAGCTCAGAAGTTGTAAATAGCTTTGGATGCTCGTTTTCTCCTTTCTACTCCCATGGTCCTGAACCACCTGTGAGTCACATCACTTCCTGCCTGCTATTTGCACCCCGGCTTATCTATCTCCATGACGACGTTCCAAACCCACCAAGAGGGTTCTCTGGGTCCAGCGAGCTCAGGTGTTCAGAGCTCCCTGCGAAAGGCCAATCGTTGCTCTTCCTGTCCTCTCCCAGGCCATCTCGCCTCCTGCCTCCGGTCTTCTGGCTCCTCCCATGTGCCACCCACCCCCAACCCATGTGGGCACATCTCTGTCCTGTTCACTTTGCATTTCAGAGCCCTGGGTGGTGCTTTGGGGTTTGAGGTGGAGGAAGGAGAGGAATACGGGCAGGGTGGGGGCCATGTGCTGCCAGCCAACCATGCCCTCAGCTCAGGAGGGGAGCCCTTCTTCTGCAGAGACCCCTGGCACCCCGGGAATCCTCCTCTGGAGGTGCCAGCCGTGCAGCCCATCAGCCCCTTCCAGGGTACGTGAGTTGGGATGCCCAGCACGTCTCCTGGATGCTGGAGCTGGCACGTCCAGTGCATCTAGACTGTCGCCTGACTCTGCATCACTCAGGACAGAGCACCTCACCCCAAGCGAGGGCAGGAGAGCAGGGCTGCAGGGGAGGGCCTCGGGTGTGCGGCTCCTGTGGTCGTTCCTGCCCTAACCATCGTGTCCCCTTGGCAGGTACCATGACCAGCAGGATGTCACGAGTAACTTCCTGGGCGCCATGTGGCTCATCTCCATCACGTTCCTGTCCATCGGCTACGGGGACATGGTGCCGCACACGTACTGCGGGAAGGGGGTGTGTCTGCTCACAGGCATCATGGTGAGTACCCGCCCCGCGCCCGAGGGTCCACAGCCTCCCAACCTGGGGGCAGAGCTGCTGGCTTAGGGGCCACACATGGGTGCCCTCTCTGGCACCTCACCAGCTGGAGCTTAGTGGGACTTCTAGGACTGAGGGCGGGCGTGGGGATCTGGAGGGACCCTCAGACACGTCCCCCAACTGATGCCATGTCTGTGTGTGTGGTTCTGGGTCTAAGGGCCTGGGCCTTCCCATGTCGATGTCCCCCAGCATGAGGTGACCTCAGCTACACAGTCACTGACACACACACTTGCCTATCACGAGGGATGTGGGGTGGGGCAGGGCTCCCAGGGGTAAGGGGTGGGGGCTGTTCTGCCCTGCCTGCTGGCAACAGCAAGGAGCTGGGTGATGGCCTCCATGTCACCCCCATACACACACCACGTATGTACACATGTATTCACGCACACATGCTCACAGACACACGCATACACACTCATACAGTGCTCACATGCACACCTGCACATAGTACTCATGCACATACGTACACAAGCACACGTGTACACAGGCACACATATGCACTCACACATGCACACACATTCACACACTCACACATGACACACATGCACTCACATATGCACACAAATGCACACACATGCTCACTCACACATCACACATGCACACATGCACATGTGGCCTACCCTGGCGGAGGAGGGGGCACTCCCTCAAGCAGGCCATTTTGTACAGGGCAGGCACTTCTGCCCTCTGCCCTCCCTCTAGCACCCAGTGGGAGCCCCTGTGGCTGCTTTCATGAGAGGATCTAGGGGTCCCACCGGAGGCCACAGCCGAGTGAGGCAGAGGTGCCGGCCTTACTCGGCTCTCGCCCTTCCTGTCCTCCCCCGCCCCTCGTACTTGGGTGACGAAGGTCCTTCCCTTCAGGCACTCCTTGGATCTCCTTGCTCACCCCAGCACCCCTGAAGAGGATCAGCCAGGAGACTACCCTGAGGGCAGGGTCCACAGAGCCATCCCCCATCCCCTCAGCTCTCCCCCATCCTGAGCCGAACAGAGACCATGGAGCAAGCACTCTCCTGGCTCTGGGCCCACTGGCACCAGCCGACCAGGCCCAACTCTGCTTCCAGAGAGGACAGCAGTGCCAGCCAGGCTTTCCTGCCTCCACACTGCTCAGAGTATGGGCCTGGCACCCCAGAATCCATTGGGCTGTGGCCTGCTGGGAACCTCCATTATGTTTAGACCGAGCTGTTCTCTGGTTCAGCTCAGGGCGGCATGGAGCCTGGGCTTCCCCGGCCTCCTGCCCTCCCTGGGCTGTGGGCATCTGCCCTTCCTGCACCCCCCCCCCAGGTGGCTGGGCACCCGCTTGGCTCCAGGCTCGCTCTCCAGCAACCTCCAGGAAAGAACCTTTTGTTCCTTTCCCAGGGGCAGGGGACCCTCCGATGGAGAAACCTGCTTCCAGATCAAACACGCTGCTCCAGCCTTTCATCTATTCTTGCCGAAACCCAGCAGCGCCAAACTGTTCCTTCCCATACACAGGCCGGGGGCGAGGCACCGTTCATTATGGTGCTTTCACCAGCCGCTGGAGTCAGCAGCTTCACTGCGGGGTCAGCAGTGGAACCCCCTGGGGCCATGACTCTAACAAATGTGACTTTTTCTAGCTGAGTCACTTCTGCCAGGGTTCCACGGGAACTCAGCCCCCCACTCCCACCCCTCCCTTCTCCCTGTTGTTGTTGCAAGAGCCTGGGGAAAGGTAGAGCTTCCTGTGTGTTACCATGGCCACCACACAGGCCGGCAGGCCTCGCTCGGCAAGGGAAGGAAAGATCTGTGTGTATGTGCGTGTACGTGTGTGCATGTGTGTGTGTGTGTCTCACAGACGCGCACACGCAAGGGCTGTAAATAGTCTTAATCATTGTTTTCTCTCGGCAATCCCAGTAACGGTGTAATTATCAACCATTAAGCGGGTATATAATTGTCTGAGCAACTTGACACTGTTGGCAAAGGCCTGGTGTGCTTGAGATTTCACCCCCAAAGGCAGATCCGTGAAGGCCCGTGTCCTTGCGAGGAAGACGTGAAAGGTTCTGTGAAGCCGGGAGCAGAGACTGGGCTGCTGGGGGTCTAGGAGCCGCAATGACAGGGAGCATGAGAAGGTGGAGTTGTCGTGCTTTGACCGGGCAGGGGCAAGGGGCCTGGCCTGGGCTGACCCTTTGCTTCCGCAGGCCCCAGGACCTTTGGTTCCCCAGGGGACCCCCATTTGAATACAGCCACCTCCTAACGCTGACTCACCGAGTGGCCCCTGCCTGCAGGGACCAAGTGCCAGCCTCCAGGGACGACCGTGGCGGCCTGGAGCGAGGGTCCCTGAGAGAAACTGGTTGGGGTACAGGGAAAGGTGGAGACTAGCTGGCTGGGTTGAGTCATCGCGGTGGGGGAACTGGGGCTCGTCTGCCTGGTGTCAGCTTCAGAGGGGAGCCGCTTCCCGAAACACCTTGGTTCCCAACCAACTGATGTTATTTTCGTTGCCTCGTGGAGTCGCCGCGGGAACAGACTCCAGCCGTCCGCCCTCCCCCACCTCCACCGATTCTGTGTTTGATCTCAGGGCTTCTTTCCTTGGAAACACCTCATCCTCCTTCCCCCTCGGGACAGTTCTTCCAAATCAAGGTTTTCCAGCCGGAAAAGGTTTCTTGGAAACCACATGAGGGAGGGCAGAGATGGGCCCACCCGGCCCTATGCCCGGGGCAGGTGTGCTCACCCCAGCCACCCCTGGGTGCTGCCCCTGACCCCGACCCCGTCCCAGGACAGTCTGACCTCAGAGAGGGGCTGCCCCACCCTCACCCCGGGGAGCTAGGAGTCACACAGAGAAGCTTCTGGAGAGATGGCTGGTGTTCTCAGTGAACCAGGACTGGCTCCTCTGAAGGCAGATGTCAGAGTCAGGGGCTGACCTGACCCACAGCCACCCCAGCCTCAGCACTCTCCTCTCTGGGCCCCCAGCCAGGCCTGAGTCCCACCCACAACTCACCTTGGCCCTTTGTCTCCTGAAACCTAGCAGGCAGGCACAGAGGCTGGGTCCCCATAGGAGCCTGGTGTACCCTGACACTGTTAGGGGGCACTGGGAGGGGGAAGGCCCTGGTCACTCCCCTCCTCACCTGTCCCGCGGCCAAGACCCTGTCCAGTGGCTGCCCGCACCCTGCTGGCCCTGCCCCCTTCCCACCCCCTCTTCTCTCCCCACCCCTCTCCCTCTCTCCTTCCCCCTTTCACTCAGCCTCTCTCCCAGCTCTCTCCTCCCTCTCCCCCACACTCTGAATGGGCCCCACAGACTGGGTTCCATCACCCCACCCTCTGCTTCCTGAAGCTTGCTAGTCTGAGCCCTCATTGCTAATGTTTGAGCCCTCTAATGGAAAGATATGTTAGGTTTCTTTATCGGTGATTACCCTTATGCCATTCAGATAGTATGCGCTCTCTCTCCCTCTCTCTCTCTCTCTCTCTCTCTCTCTCTCTCTCTCTGGATTTTCTAAGAGGAATATTAAGTTGGGTATACCCCATGCATCTTATTGCGATTCAAATCAGAACTAAGAGTTTAGCATGCTCGGGAGATCTCAAAGGAGTTTTGACATCTTCCTGTTGAAAGAAACCAACCTGTAGCCAAAGTGATAGCATAGTGGGTAGGGCCTTTGCCTTGCACACAGTCAACAGTTGACCCGGGTCTGATCCCCGGCATCCCATATGGTCCCGAGCATTGCCAGGAGTAATTCCTGAGTGCAGAGCCAGGAGCACCCCCTGAGCATTGCCAGGTGTGGCCTGCCTCCCCCATCCCCCCCTCCACTACCAACAACAAAAATTTCTTTTCCTCTCCTCTATGCCTCAAAACAAGTCATCCTTTGGGGGCTGGAGCAATAGTACAGTGTAGGGCACTTGCCTTGCATGCAGCTCACCAAGGCTCTGTCCCCAGCATCCCATATGACTCCCCGAGCACTGCCAAGAGTAATTCCTGATGCTCAAGGGTAACCCCTGAGTGTCACCAGGTCTGACCCTTCTTACCCCCCACCCTCCCCACCCCTGCAAACACAAAAGAACAATGCCAACTAAAGAAATGGCCCCGCATAACTGAAACCCAAGCACAAAAATTTGTAAGTCTATAACTGTACCTCATGGCGTTTCACTAATAAAAAAAAAATTAAATAAATAAATAAATAAAAAGAAAAACATTTTAAAAAAAGAAAAACAAGAACAAAAATGGCCCCAGGACTATCCTGTCCTCCCCTGCAGGAGTGAGTCTCCATCACTGGAAGATAGTTCTCTGGGGGGTCCTCGGGCTGCCTGAGAAGCCCCTAAGACTGCTCAGCTGCGTCCCCAGTCACTGCTCGCCTAGCAGCCAAGGATGGGGCTGGACTGCAGTCAGCCTGTCTGGGCCGCATGTGCAGGCCGAGGGTGCCCAGCCGGACAGGGCTGACCCCTGCTGCCACGGGAGACTTGGGAGAGCAGCATCATGGCTCTGCGCTTGGGGGCCCCCAGACAAGCATAGCAAAGAGGGTCTGAGCACCAGGGGCTGTGCATGAGGTGTGGCCTGAGGCCCTGGGGTGGATCCCAGCTCTGCATGGGCCCAGCAGCTAGGCTCACAGAACCAGGCCAAGCCCTCCTGGGGTGCCCCTAGAAAAAAGACAAGGGGTCCTGAGAGGTAGTGCTCTGCCCTTGCCCATGGCCAACCCGGTTTAGACCCCAAGTCCCACCAGGAAGGATCCCTGAACACAGAGCCAGGAATAAGTCCTGCCAGGTGTGGCCCCGAATTCCAAAACACCACCCTTCCCTTCTTCATCCTTTTGTTCTCCCCTCCCTCCCTCCCTCCCTCCCTCCCTCCCTCCCTCCCTCCCTTCCTTCCTTCCTTCCTCCCTTCCCTTCCCCTTCCTTCCTTCCTCCCTCTCTCCCTTTCTTCTTTCTCCTGTCTTCCCTTCCTTCCTTCCTTCCTTCCTTCCTTCCTTCCTTTCTCCCTTCCTCCCTCCCTCTCTCCCTTCCTTCTTTCTCCTGTCTTCCCTTCCTTCCTTCCTTCCTTCCTTCCTTCCTTCCTTCCTTCCTTCCTTCCATCCCCTCCTTCCTTTCATGAAGAAGCAGGATTTACTATGGTGGGGAGGGATGGGTGAGCAGACTCGGGGAGCAGGTCCAAGGCTCTCGGGAGAGCTGTGCCTGTCCTGTCCACAGGCCACCCGTCAGGGTGTATGTGACCCCACAAGCGTCTGCAATGAGCCTCTTTCAGCCTGCACGTCTTCCACTCGCCGCACTCTCTGGGTGAAGCCTCTCTTCCTAGACTCATGGAGCTTCTCGTGTCCAGGGAACTTGAATTTGACCCTGACAGAGCCTCCATCCCATGCTCCTTCCTCAGTTTGGTGCAGATGGACATGATGAATTGGCCAGTGTGGATTGTGGTCACTGTGCCCTGAGGCTTTCCAAGGTGTTCCCCATCCTGGAGCCTGAGGCTGGGTCAGCATGAGAGCGGATAGGAAAGGATTGTCCCCTGCAAAGGTCTGTCTCTAGGGTCCCTTATTGGAGCCCTGTGGCTCTGCCCTGGAGGCTGATCGCCACCTGCGGCCACCACACCCCACAGGGTGGAGCACACACATGTCCTCATTTTCAAGGAAGAGTCTCTACCCGGGGCAGGTGACCTGTCCATCCCCGAGTGGCCATGGCCTTCTTTCTTAGCTCCCTATAGGAGACGATCTGTAGGTGCCAGACCACCATGGGCCCCGCACAGCTGGCCTGTCCCCACTATCCTCTGTCACTTCCAATCCCCCCAATGGCCAGCCTGCGCTGAGCTACTTCATAGGCGCCTCAGTCTCTGGGGCGCCACAGAGCTCCTTGGGGTGCAAGCACCAGCCAAGGGGCTCCCGCAAGATTTCATGGAGCCAATCCCCTCTTTGACACTGCGTCTCCGGTCCCCTGCAGGGAGCAGGCTGCACAGCGCTCGTGGTGGCGGTGGTGGCCCGGAAGCTGGAGCTCACCAAGGCCGAGAAGCACGTGCACAACTTCATGATGGACACCCAGCTCACCAAACGGGTAAGACCGCGCTGCCGGCCACGCCAGGTGGACCCCAGGGCCTCTGGAGAGCATCAGAGTGGGGAGGCGTAGGGGCACCCCCCCCCCACAGATAGGCAGGGCCTGGAGATGAGGGGGGCCACGCTCCCATCTCCTCATCGACCACTGCACAGCGGTCCAGGCCAGCCAAGTGTTTCCTGACTGTGAGGTCTATAGCGTCCCCTGGTGTCACCGACCCCTTGCTTAGGGTCCAGGCTGAATCACCCAGCATGAGGTCACATTTGTGTTTGGGCTCAAATGTTTTCCTGGTGCTCATTCAGAAGGGCAGAGAAAGTCTTCAGAAATGCTCCTGGAAGCATGTCTAAATCCAATCCTTCAAAAAAAAAAATCATTCAAGACCTTCCTGCTGGCACCACCATGCTCCTGAATGTCGTTGGTTGAGACACCACCATCCGATTGTCCTGGGCTTTCCAGAGAACGTTTCTCTCTTGCTTCCTCATGCAGGTGGCTAAGGAGGATGGAGGGCTGGCAGTACGCAGCAAGGGGAGGCGGTTTCGCTCTGGAAAGTCTCAGTCTCTCCACCCCCCACCCCAGTGAATTGTCAGAGAAGAAAAGAGAAAAGGCCCATTTAGAAGAGACAGAAACGAGCCTTCCAGGAGAGCAGTGGGCCAAATGAGAGAGGCAGGAGCTGTTTATTTAATGACAGCTTTTATGGAAAATTCTTTCAAGTTGCAGGCTGAGCGGAGGGCAGGAGAGACGATTTCCTGCAGCACTCTTCCCGAGCCGGGCAGTGAGGGGGTCAGAAGCCCACGCAGGCTTCTTCTCATTAAGGACAAAAGTGGGTTAGGAGAGCCACGAGCAACCCCATTTGGATTTGGGGGTTCTGAAAGCCAGAGATGTTCAGTGATTAGTGTGGTGGTGCTGAAAGAAAAAAAAATGTGTTAAAAATTGAGACAAAGCAAAGAGAGAACAAAAAAAGGGAATGAATGGGAGGGTGAGCGCACTCACCCGCAGGAGGCGGTGGGAGAATGTGCAGTTGCCAAGGCCTCTCTGGCTTCTCCGCAGAATTATTTATGGTGTTTGATTGTTTGGTCTTTGATTACATTTACTGGATTCTTTCAAGAGCCTCCACAGATGTCATGAGGAAACGGGTCCAAGCAAAGACAGGGATGCTGTCGACATCAGCATGGCCCAGAGCTGCCCATCGTCCAGAGTAAAACACTTTTTATGGTGTAAAGAAGGCAGGACTGAAGGCCGATCCCTGGGGGGGAGGGGGCGGGGGGGGGAGGCCTCACTGGGGTTCCACCCCGAGACTGTCCTTCCATCCTGCTAATGCAGACAAAGGGCAATGCTCGGTGCTGAGCAAATTTCAAAAGTTATTGGGACACCTAAAAGCAAACAGGCTTGCATCTATTCTCCTGACATGATTTTGTGCAGGAGAGAGGGGTCAGAGAGGAGAAACCTCCAGGATGTTGCAGAAGCATTTTCCCAAGGTCCCCTGTTTATTTAATCTGGGTTGCTTTTCAGATCTAAGGATTTTGCTTTGCATTTCTTGTTCTTCCTTTGTCCTCTCCATGTTTCATTCTGTAAATCAGACGCTGGAGGAAAATAAAGTCGAGCCAAGCCAGCTCGCTTTTAGAATGGGAAAATAAACCATCCCCCCTGCAATATAATCGTAGAAGGAGATGAGATTTTGATTGCTAATTTCAGTCTTTCAAAAAGAATTCTTTGAAGTCCTCCTGGAGTCCACTTACTTTTTTGAAAAGTAGGGCTGAAAATCAAATCAACAAATATTTATCCCTCAGCCATGAATGCAAGGGGCAACTTTTTAATCGAATAACATCTTGTTTTCCTGAGAACACTTAAATCTGTGGAAATGTCCCTCTAGCTTGTAATATATTTTCCAAGTGGATTAAACAACAGAAAAGAAAGGTGCTTGCAGAGAGGATTTTCAAAACTGGCAGGGTTCGGCACCCTAAGGTCCTTTCATAGAACTTGGATTGGAAGGAGATTGACACCTGGGTCTGTCTGCTCTGGTCTTGCCTAGCTTGGACTGGCTCGTGGAAGCCCACCTTCCTCCCCAGGGGTCCCCAGGGGCTGAGCTGCTCTCTGTCCTCACAAAATGGCTCATAGCTCCCCTCAGAAGTGGTTCCTGGGCCAAAAAGACAAGCCCCCATGCACCTCGCCCCACCCTGATGGTAATCAGAGGCCAGGTGGCACCATGCCAAGCCTCTCCGGAGAGGACAGCCAGAGGGTGACGAGATAAAAGCAATCACTCACCGTCCACACAGCGATTCTTCCCACATTGAGGCCAGAAACAAACAAAAAAAAAGAGGAATCGGAACCTATTAATCATAAGCACACTCGAGTTGTTGATTCATCCTTAGGGCTTGCCCCGCTTTCCACTCTCCTCTGGTGTATTTATTTCAGAAGGCAGCTGGGGGAGCGTCTGATGGCGCTTGGAAGAACCCCATTCCTGGGCCCCAGAGGCAGCTAAGCTTTGCCTGCCTGAGGCACAGGAGGGGTCCACTGCCCCATGCTGCCCCCAGACACAGAACCAGAAGCCCCTGCATACTGCCCGGTGTGCCACCCCCCTCCCCCCCACCCCCAATCAAAGCAGATCTCCTTTTTTTTTCCCTGAATCCCAAATCCCGTGACTTGTTCTTTTCACCTATGTGACCTGTCAACCCGGTGTATTGTCATTTCTGTATTTAAGGCAGGCCCAGCATCCCACACCACCTTACTGCCATTGTTATTCTATAATTATAATCTTTTTTGCTAACCCTCGGGACTGCTAGATAATATATATGTAAATGACACATAGAAAAACTGTCAGAAAAGACCTTAGATCCTCATTCTTCTCTCCCACTCCCATCGCTCTGCTTGATGTCCCCCAAAACACCCAGCTTGGGGGAGCCACCCCCCACAAACACATGCCACGCTCTACTCTGCGGGTGCTGGGGTGGGCTTTAGGGGGCTCCAGGACTCACTTCGCCCCCTGTCTTACAGGCAGGTCTGTGAACGGCGAGGCGGGCTGTCCACAGGCACTCGGGGGGGCGCAGCGCCCACAGCTGGGAGATGCCCATGTCCCTCACCTGTGTCCACGCCTGACAGTCTAGGCACTAGCCCTGGTCTAGGACTGTCCCCACATCCTTGACCCAGGGGGGTCTTACTCCAAACACTTTATCCATATGCACATCCCTTTGAGATCCTGGGGTTAGCCAAAGCCAAGCTCTTGTCGTTCCCCCCATCCCAAACCCATTGTCTGCTCAGCCAGTGATGCCCCTTGGCTCCTGCAGGCTCAAGATGGCCTGTCTACACACAGGTCAGGCCTGCCCACGTGATGCAGCCACAGGACTCAGGCTTCTGCTCCCAGGCTTTCAGGTGCTTGAGTCTCGCCCCTCCCAGACGCCTTCCCTTCCCTCCTGTGCCTTGGCTGGCTCCTGGCCCCTGCACTCTCTGAGCCCCTCAGCTTCGACTGTAGCCACCCCCTGCTCCAAACCCTCCTGTGCCCCCTCCTTGCTCCTGCAGGACCCTGAGCAGGGTGCAGAGAGCGGATCTTCCATCCAGCATGCACCCCATGCGCCTTGGCAGACAGGCAGGTCTGTCTGTGGTCTTGGTTGCTGTGTCAGGATAGGGTGGTCTTGGCTGCTGTGTCAGGCCCCTGGGATAACTGAACTCTGGAGCCAGCTGAGTCAGGCTCGCTCTGACCTTTCATCCTGTGGGTTTTCCCAACAGGTGATGGGGAAAGGCTGGGGGTGAGCTTTGCTCCTGATGGGGTACTGCTTAGGGAAAGACAGTGTGGCCTTTGGAGTCCCCCGGGGTGCAGAGGGTGCTTTAAGGGACCCTAGAGGACTGACTGACAGCTGGTTGGGCCCATAGTGAATTCCCAGAAGCTTTAATCTCTTTAGCACTGATCAAATCAGCAAGTGAGCAGCTGATCTGATCCAGAAGGCTCACTCTCCCCAGAAAGGAAAGGAATGATCTCCCCCACATAGGTCCTGGCTCTGACAGACAGCGCCCGTTTCTTGATGACAGTTGTAGACAAGTTGAGCTGGGGGGGGAGGGTGGTTGCTTGGTGGTGAGCTGCTGTGTCCCAGGCCCCAGAGGATACGGGTGTGCTGGGAGATCCAGCTGGGCAGGCTGCCCAGTGAGTGGGGTGCCAGCCAGTGGCAGCTTCCCCCCAGGCCTGTGGGGACCTGAGCATCTTCCTGCATGGCCACGCAGGCCCTCAGCAAGCCCACCACCCGGGAGCAGGTTCCTGGGCGCTGAACAATGGTACAGCAGGGAGGGCATTTGCCTTGCATACAACTGACCTTGGTTCAATCCCCAGGATTCCACTGGGACCTCTAAGCACTGCAGGAGTGACCCCTGAGCACAGCTAGGAGTAAGCCCTGGACACCGCCCAAAACTACAACAAAGCCAGGTTCTGTCCAAAGGGAGCAGCACCCCCGTGCCGGGGTCCAGAGCTGCGCCTCAGCCAGGCAGCTCCAGGCAAAGAGCCTTGGCAGCCGCATCAGCCTCAGATCTATCTCCGTCCTCCCTCCCGCCCCGATGCCCTGCTGGCCTCAGGCCTGGCTGAGGTGCCTGAATCGGATGGACTGGGGTGAGGAGAGGAGACCGGGTGGAGATAGAGATAAGAGGGCTGGAGGAAGCCAGCAGGAAACTGGGAGTGACCGTTGGGGAGAGCTGGGCAGCAGAGGGGAGAGGGGGTGGCCCAGGTACCTTGCAGACAGGCGGGCCTGTGCGTGGTAGTGGTACAGGGGGTGGTCTTGGCTGCTGTGTCAGGCCCCTGGTGTAACTGAACTCTGAAGCCAGCTGAGTCCGGTTCTCTCCGACCTCCTGGCTCCTCCCTGTCCCGGGTCTGGGAGCCCAGGGTCCCTGCCTGCCCCGGCACGCCCACCCACAGGCACCTCAGGCTCTTGTCCCTGGGGTCCTCAGTAGAATAGGGAACAGCCTCCCAGTGCGACCCTGAAGACATGGAGGGGCAAAGGGTGGCCCCACCCCGCCTTGCACCACTGACCCTCCATTATGGAGCTGGAAGCAAAGGGTGTGCGACACATATGAGTGCACCATTCCTAAATGAGTGAGAGGGCCCTGGGGGCGGGACCAGACCTGCACCTGCTGTTTTGGGATCTTCTCCTGGGCATGGGGAGAGAGAAGGAAGCAAGCGTGGCTGGCGCTAAGGTGGCTGTGAGTATAGGTGCCCTGCACAGTACCAGCGCCAGGCGCTGCCCTGTGGCCCCATGCAGCCCCGCCCAGCGCCCCATTCCCAGCCGGTTGCCTCCCCTCACTAGGTTTTCTCCAGTTCTGCACAACACGCTGTGTCCTGGCCTGGGGAGGGACAGTAGGGTCATCCCTCACAGCTATCTTAGAGTGGACCCGCCCAGCAGACAAGCCTCGCCCAGAGTGTCCCGCAGGCACAAAGAACAAAACCAAGTCTCAGATTCAGTCCCAGGTCCTGGGGTGGGGAGGTGGGAACCACACACACAGGTCCCGCTCTTTGGGGCTCAGCTAGGGGCTTGGGACACAGCTGGGACCCTCCCCCTCCCAAGGGCACTGGCTCAGTGGCTCCCAGCGTCCTGGCACAATTTTCTTTCTCTTTTTTCTGCTTTTTGGGTCACACCTAGCCTTGCACAGGGATTACTCCTGGCTCATGCACTCAAGAATTACTCTTGGCGTTGCTCGGGGGACCATATGGGATGGTGGGAATTGAACCCGGGTCGGTCTCGTACAAGGCAAACACACACCTTTGGCTGTGCTATCGCTCCAGCCCTGAGACAGTTTTCTTGCCCAGGAGTGCAACCCCGAGATGATCCACACACAGTGGAGAGCTTTGACTCAGGAGGAACCAAAACAAACAGTGCTGAGGCTCAGGGCAGCAGGCGGAGTAGCCGGCCTGGGCACGTGCGCCCCCGGCTCTCCATCCTGAGCCGCAACTCTGCCAGCCTTGCTCAGTCCTTCCAGATTCCTCACCTGCCCACCCCCAGCCCCAGGAGCCCCCAGAGGGCAGCCAAGCCCCTCTTCCAGGCACAGCAAACCCCAGGAGGGGCTCATGACGTCTGCACCCCAGTGGTGCTGGCTGTCCAGGCTGGGCGTGGACGGAGACCCCGGGTCCCAACCCACCTACAGCCTCTCATCAGAGGCAGCATGGAGCAGTTAAAAGCCTATTTCTTTCTCTCTTGCAGATATCGATCTTCTTTAGCTTTGTGCCCAGCCGTTTGCCGGCAATTAATTTCCGAGTCAGCACCAAGGCTGCATTTAACATCACTTTTCCGAACCCGCAGGGGCCTACTGCTCAGAGCCATAAGGATGATGAGCCGGTCCCAGCCAGCTGTGCGGAAGGGTGCCAGGGGCTTGGGGGCCTGGACTCCCCCAGTGAGGGCCGGGAAAAGAGCGATGGACCACCCCACCCCATCCTTTCCTGTTCTTCCATCCCAGAGAACAGGAAACCGGTTTTGTTTGCGTAAAGATGAAATCTAGCTGGGCTTCTCTTCCAGCCCTCATGGAAACCACCTGCTTTGCTTGGACCCAGCCCTTGTTTGGATATGGCCATTGGCTGTGTGATTCTGGCCCTCACATCCCATCCCTGAAGTGTCCTCATAGTTCATAGGGGGGTCGGGGCTAGATGAGCAGAACCAAGAGGGCACTTTAGCCATTACAGGACCCTCCTGGCTGGCACAGACTCCACTTACCATCTGAGGTCGTGATCTGTGGCTCAGTCGCTTTGCCGGTGAAATAGGGCTAGTGTTCGCCTATACTATGTCAGGTGCATGAACTGAACTGACACTGGCATCCTCAAACTGGCCCTGTCACTACCGACAACATCACTGCCTCCTTTCAGCCTTAGATCAGGCTGATTGCGGGGGAGGACGATCCCCCTTCCCGTCTGACAGAGACTGAAACATTTACCCCAGCCTCCTCCCTGTGTTCACACTACACCGAGAGCCACGCAGCCTACCCAGTGTCTATCTCAGGCCTATGCACGCCACATAGAGAGTCACATTATCTGTCCAGTGTGCAGTGGTCAGCCTCTCATACTGTTGTGTCCGAGTTTCAGATCTCCGATTGCAGAGAGACCAGTTCCACACATGATAATGCAAAAGCAAAGGAACTTTATTACTGCCTAAGCCATCGCTAGCTCGAGCTAGGGTCCAAGTCTCATCCAACACAGTGGAGTCTTGACAAGGACCCCGACTCCAAATCACAAGCAGTTTATATAGGGTTCAGAGTTAAGAAGCAATTTATATGCTGGTCTATTTTTATGACTGGCCAGACCCAACGGTCCAATTTCTTATCTGGCAAATTACTCAACTGGGAGTTCACCAGCAACTACAAGTCCTGCTTTGGGGACACAGAAACTGAGGCCTAGCTGAGACTTAGTGTTACTGCAGCTTGTCATGGCATCAGTTTCGCCCTCACAATGCCATGCACATTCGCTTTCCTGGGCTAGCCCAGAACACCCGCCACAGGCCCCTGTGGGTACTGTGAGGAGGAGGCGGTGACTGGGCTCTGCCTTGGAGCCTGAGTGGCGCCCGCCCTCCCCCTTCTTTGCTTTGCGGCCTTCCCCGGCTGCACCCAGGGAAACCAGAGAAATCACGCCTCAGATTGCCTTCTTCTTGCCCAGGGCAGCGGGAGCATTCCCTCAGCAGAGAGACAAGTTTCTCTTCACAGCCGCCCTCTGCCAGGGGATCCTGGACAGCACCCAGAAACACCCCTACTCTCTCTCACCCCCCCCCTCACCTGCACACCCACCACTCCCAGCTTCTCCTCACCACCTGCTTCCTGTCAGGCAAGAAAGTTCCAGAGGTGGGCAATTAAGTCATTTCAAACCATTTTTCACAGTGGATTTTTACTGAGAACCAGAAAAAGCAATATTTATGTCAGTGAGACATCTCTGAGAAGACTTAGCTGTTCTTTAAAAAAAAAAAAAAAGGAAAAGAAAGAAAGGGGGGGGAAGCATGACTTCAGTGCCAATGAGAAATATAATCCAGCCCGGGTAATAAATTTTTTTAACAAACATACACACAGTGAAAGTTATCAGCCTGCAAAACAATGTTTTCTTGGCCTTCCCACATGTCTCGGTATTTTAACTAAGTCCCATCTGCTGATGTCAGGTTGAAGAGGTAGGTCTGTGCTCTCCAGCTTTATTAAAACGCTTTCTGGCTGGTAAACGGACTTCTCCACGCTGGCCTGCTTAGTCCCGGGCTGCCGGCCCATGGGCCTGTGCCAATTTGCATGGCTGCTGACAGAAACAGGAACAGTTCATCAAAAACCTGTTTAGCTGTGCTTTAGAAGAAATATTTCCTCTTGCTCTTCTTACTAATCGCTGGAGATGTCTGTGTTTGGGTTGAAGCTGTGTCCCCTGCCATCTGGATGCCATTGATCTGTCTCCGCTCTGGTGTGAGCGGATGTTCTCGGTGGTTTCCATGTCAACAGATGACGGCGTCCTGTGTGGGAACACTGCGTGGCGCAGCTCGGCTTTCACACCTCCATCCCGTCACTGCCTTTCAGATGCCACTTTGAAATCATTTCCGCTCTAGGCCTCTTGCATTTCCACGTGGATGTGCCGGGCATTGAGGAAAGGAAGCAAGAGGCGTGCAGCAACCCAGAGCTCCATTCCGTGGGCATGACATCCTCTCCAAGGGGACGTTGGAAAGCTCCAGCTGCCAGGAAATCTGTTTGCTCTCTGCATCCAAGAAACATACCCTGTGCGTGGAACAGAGCCTTGGCCAGAGCCGGGCAGCCCACAGCCAACCAGGGTCTGCGTCCGTCCACTCTGAGGGTGCCCAGGCCTCGGGCCTCGGTAGCACAGCCTGTTTAAATACAGCCGCAGCCACGGGAGGGAGAGGCAGTTCAGGAGTAATAACCAAAGAAGTGAGACACCCCCGCAACTTTGGTCTCCATTCTGCTGTGTCCAGACAGGATGAACAAGAAAGGAACTTGAATCATCCTGGCTCAGAGGTCACGGTGTGGTCGTGGACAGAGCTGGCCGAGAACTAGCTTCTTAGAGGAGGGGGGCATCTCGGCAGACCACCTCATGCGGACCCCAGGGAATGAGCCCCAGGGCCCACCTGCCTGGTTTCTTTTTCCTTAGATCAAGAATGCGGCGGCGAATGTCCTCCGGGAAACGTGGCTGATCTATAAACACACGAAGCTGCTAAAGAAAATCGACCATGCCAAAGTCAGGAAGCACCAGAGGAAGTTCCTCCAGGCCATTCACCAGTGAGTACGCGGCCCTCAGCCCTCGGCCACCTGGCAGCCTGGGCACCTCACCCTACCCAGGGCCTCTTGGGTCTTCTTGTAAAAGATTTTTCTCTTCTGTTCCACTTTGTGAGCATTCGGGGTGTAGCTGGGAATGGAGCTGGAGGGTAGAGCCACTGGTCTTGCATGTGTGTGGGCCTGGGTGTGAGATCCCTGGCAGCCAACAATAAGGATGCTTTAGGGGGCATGACCTGACCTGTCGGCTGTTTTTCCATTTCTCTCTCCTGTTGCTCCAGCCTTGGCAGACTTCCAGGGAGGGTGAGCACTAGAGTCAGAGCCTCGAAGACCTTCCCCACCTTCCCCCCACAACACACAACACAGACACATATCTCACACCACACACAACACGTGCACTGCACACAACACATGCTCCAGACACATATTTCACACGCAGCACACACACTGTCAGACACACCACAAATGTACAGACACACCATACACTGAGATGCAGCACACATGCATGAATACCATATAGACATACCACACACATAAAGTCAGATGCACACCTCACACATATGCACACCACAGAAGTACACACAGGCACATGACAAACAGACCTTGTACAGACACAGAGACAGACACACACACACACACACACCATGCATAGTCACATACACACACATATACAACTCCCGTTACAACTTGAAGGAAAATATATTGTGTGTCTTATATAAGATCTATTATAAAAAGGTGAGTGGACAAGGAGAAGGAGAGCAGGATTTTGACCTGAAGGCATAGGGGAGTCCCTGATAGATTGGGGGTGAGGGAGGGGCACTGAGGTGGCTGGCACTGCTTAGGCGAAGCTGTGGGTGCAGAGCAAGGGCCTGAGAGAAGGTGGACACTGAAGGGACAGGGCTGGGCCAGAAGCACACCTGTGCAGAGACCAGAGGGGCCTGGCCTGGCCTGGTGTTGCTATGCCCCAGCCCCGTGCGGGCACTGTCGGCAGACACTCTCAGGAGGACATGGAGCCAGCACTTCGGGCCTCACTGCAACACGCACTTGAAGGGTGTGGCTGTGTCCACTCTCTCCACAGACTGAGGAGCGTCAAGATGGAGCAGAGGAAGCTGAGTGACCAGGCCAACACCCTGGTGGACCTTTCCAAGGTGAGTAGCCACACCTGGGGGTGCCCTGGCCAGACCCTGGCTGGTTGAAGCACTGTCCCACACACACTGACTGGCTCCTCACTGGCTCGGAGAACCTGGCTCCGGTCCTCACCATTCACAGGCTGCTAGTGTGTCTGTAGTCTCTTTGGGTCTGGGCACCACACAGAGCCCCGCGGTGCTCAGGGATCACTCTTAGGTTGTGCTGGGGATTGAACCCGGGTTGGCTGTGTGCAAGTCAAGTGCCTTAACTTCTGTACAATTGCTCTGACACTTCTGTTGTATTTTAAAACCTGCCATTTCTTTCCCCTTTTGATCATTTTCACCCTTCTTTTAACAATTATTTTACTGTTGGTAAAATATAACCCAGTTGACCTCCTTTGGCATGCAGCTCATGGCACGGTGGTGCTAAGTCCACACCATCGCTCTTAGAGTTAGGTAGGACCAGCCGTCACCTCCCTCTCCACCCCACAGCTCTTTCCTTCCTGTAATGTGGAACTGGGTCCCCAGTAAGCAATCATGCCTCAGCTTTCCCCCCTGATCTCCTGGGAACCATCATTTCTCTTTTGGTCTCACTGAACGGACGTGGCCCAGTGCTGCCCACAAGCAGGACCATAGTATTTGTCCTGTTGTGAAGGGTGAGAGTGGGGCCTTGTCCAGCGGTGCTCGGGGGCTAGTCCTGCCTCTGTGCTCAGGAGTGACTCCGTGTGGCTTGAGGACCACCTGTGGGACTGATTTGGGGGCAACACAAAGTGCTATATACAAGGTACGACCTAACCTCTGAACTGACTCTCTGGCCCCAAGAGCCTTTGCTTTGCTGCCGCTGGTATCGTGGTCACCACGGAGGCTCGTCCATGCATGGGCTCACTCAGCTGTCCTGTCACACTTTCACAGGTGCTTTCAGGGCAGTCCATAAGGACTCCCCAGGGTGAGTCCCACTGACAAGGGTGGTGATGGTAAGGACCATGGGGCTACTTCCATTCCCTGCTAAAGATCTCATCATGGACTGCCATGATCAGGCCAGAGCAATAGCACAACGGGTAGGGCACTTGCCTTGCATTCAGCTGACCTGGGTTCGATCCCTAGCACCCCATATAGATCCCCCAAGCCCTCCAGAAGTGATTCCTTGAGTGCAGAGCCAGGAGTTAACCCCTGAGCACCACCGGGTATGGACCACAAACCAAAATGCAGAGAAATTCTTTCTTGAAACTGCCTCCTCTAATCCTTACAACCCAGCCTTGCTGCACTCAGGGGCAGGTAGTCTGTGAAAACATGAAGATACCCAAAGGGAGAGCCTTCCCCTGGAACCACCGGGGGGCTGATGGGGGGGAGCGCTGTCACACTGTCACTCTGCGTGGATTTTCAGCACTGGGTTTCCAAAGGCACCGTGAAGAAATGCTCTCCCTTTGCAAGTCCCTGAGGTGAACAGGTAGGCGGCCTTGCTGCCTGCAGAGCCATGCGGGTGCCCTGACACAAGCCCACCCCACTCCCAATCATTGATCAAGTGCACAGCCCAGGGCCCAGGTGACAAAACATCCCCACAGATGTCAATTACTGTGATGGAACATTTGGGTAGGCAAGAGGCACTCCCCGGGGCCAACTAAGCCCCCTTGGAAGGCAGCGTGTAAGCTGGTGTTTGTGGGTGGGGGCCACGTGCTGGCACCCTGTTCAATGAAGGGACTGCCCTGAAAGGGGCTGGCAGCAGGGCCTTCTCCCCGGGAACGCCTGACTCCCTCCCTAGGGAGAAGCCACCCGCCTGCCTTTGGGGAGGCGTTGAACGGGGACTCTTGGAATCTGTGTGGGGATGGGCGGGGGGGGGGGGGGGGTCATGCCAGGGCGTGAGGGGGCAGCAGAGAGCAGCAGACCAGTCCCTGGAGGATCTGGCAGAGGCTTTTAGAGTCAGGAGCAGAAGCCCAGGAAGTCTTGCTGCAGCTGAAGCTCCAAGCAGGCCCCTGGTGAGCTGCCGGAAGAAACCAGCTAGAATCAGACACCCACGGTGCATTTCCTCTCCAGTTCAGCGCCTGCTTCCAGCCCTCCCGCCTCCCCTGACAGCTATAGGCAGCAGAATCATTTCCTGACTCTACGGCCCCACCGGCCAGGCCTGGTTCTGGTTCTAACATAGACAAAGGCCAGCAGGCCTCCCATTGGTCTTCAGGTCAAATTCTCGAAAGAGATTTGACTGATCAGATCAGAATCATGTGTCTATCCTTGGACCAATCAGCTGTGGCCAGGAGAAAAGGGCTGGGGGCCCACTCTGGGAGATTTGGGAACGGCCCTGCAGAGCCCTGAGAGAGGGCACATAAAGTCAAGAAAGGGATCGCACACCCCAAGCTGAGACGCTGGAAGTGTCTCCCTTGCCTTTGCTATGTTGGATTTATAGTTTTTCTCCCAAATTTCCCCCATGTGGGTCTTTCTATGGAGATAAGGGTGCCCTGCTGTGGTGTTGTCAAGGGGGAGAGCCAGGAGTGTCTGGAATCCACCTTCATGTCCTGTTACAACCCTTTGTTCCTGCTGGAGCTTCTCTCCAGAGGAGGGAGGCGGCCTTCTCTGGGTGGTGCTGGCCAGTTAGTTTTACCAGGTCTCAGTTCCTGTCTGGGTCTGGCTATCGTGCTGTTTTGCTATGTTAAAGTGAGGGAGAGTCACTTCCTTGACTCACCTCTTAGTTTACAACTTCCCCGGAGCTCATTGCAAGCACCGGTCCCCTCCACCCCCGGGTCATGACCATGAGTGCAGCCCGTGGACAAGACTCTTCTCTGTGTGAATGCATCCATCCCTGCGCCAGCTGCGTCCATCACAGACAGGAGTCCAGCATCGCCTGTATGCCCGATACCAGGCCAGTTCTGGGGGTCTGCCCATGAGCCTGCAGGCCAGCTGCCTGCCCTGGAGGGACTTGCCTTCTGTTGAGAGATGAGAGCCAGTGAGTGGAAGGGAGCAGCCCTTTTCCGTGGGGCTCCAGGAGGAGTTGAGGGGCTCGGTGCTTGAGGAGCAAACAAGACTCGGGGAAGCTCAGTAGAGACGTTGGAGAGGCTGAGGGTGCTGGCTGGGGGCTGTGGGTGGGGAGCAGGACTCCTGGTGTGGGGGGACCTGTCTAGCTAGAAGATATCCCTGAGCACAGGAGGTCCAGTGGAACCTGGGGACTGTCAGGAAGGAGGGAGCTGGACGAGGCAGAGGGAGGGTCTTAGCTGAGAGATGAACTAAGGGCCTCCAGCAGGGCGCCTGCAGATGGGCTGGCCCTTGGAGCAGCCCCTGGAGGGAGGGACCCCATCACGGGGTGGGGGGAGGGGGGAGCGCGGTGTGGCAGAGCAGAGACTTGGGTGTGCCTCTGCATTGGGCTGACTCCAGGCCTGAGGAGTCGGCCATGTGGACACTCAGGCTGCAGTGCTGGACGTAGGCAGAGTGCAAAATCGCTTTGGAAGGAACTTTGTGTGGTTCTTGCTCTCTGCATAGGTGATGCCAGGGATGGTGCCCGTTGGTCTCACGGAGGGGACGCAGGGCCACCTTGGGACTGACCTGTGTTCCTGAGTCCCCTCCTGGCCTCTGTGGAGTCACTCTTAACCCTGTTTCATAAGACTGAGTTTCCAAGGGATTAAGAGGCAGGAGGGCGCCTCATTACTGAGCCGTGGCCTTGGACCTGGCCTGACCTCCCATGCACACAGAGCACCTGCCTGCTCTTGGGTCACTGGGGCCGGCTACTGAGGGAGCCGAGGCAGCAGGAGGCTGGGGACACACATCCCAGTTCTGATGAAAGTGCTGGACCCAGAGAGAGAGCACGGGGCCAGGCACTAGCCTCGTTCCATCCCTGGCACTCTGCAGGGAGCCCTGAGCCCCTCTAGGAGTGATCCCTAAGCACAGAGCTAGGAGCCAGCCCCGAGCACCATCAGGTGCAGCCCCAAATAGAGAAAAGTTTGCTTCTTTCCATCATAGGCACTTCCTAAACCCTATTCACAGTGATGCGCATCCCTCCCTTGAGACATTCAGGAAACCACCTTTGACCTAGACCCACTCGAGGCCCATTTCTTGGGCTCCTCCTCCACCACCACCCCAAGCCGCCAGTCGTGGCCAGTGCAGGGACAGGTCCCTTGGTCTCCGGGGCTGCCGTGTTCTGCCCTCCCATGGCAGAGCGCCCCCATGATGACCAGTGGTCTCCCTATCTCCTGTCCATCTATGTGTCCATCTGCCTGTCCACCTGTGTCTGTCTGCCCCGTCTCCACCCTGCCCCCCCTCCCCATCTCACCGTCCATCTGTCTGTACAGATGCAGAATGTCATGTACGACCTGATCACGGAACTCAACGATCGGAGCGAGGACCTGGAGAAGCAGATTGGCAGTCTGGAGTCCAAGCTGGAGCACCTCACGGCCAGCTTCAACTCCTTGCCCCTGCTCATCGCCGACACGCTGCGCCAGCAGCAGCAGCAGCTCCTGTCTGCCCTCCTGGAGGCCCGGGGCGTCAGCGTGGCGGTGGGCACCCCGCACACCCCGCTGTCCGACAGCCCCATCGGGGTCAGCTCCACCTCCTTTCCGACCCCGTACACAAGCTCCAGCAGTTGCTAAATAAAACTCCCCACTGCAGACGCATTACCCATAGGTCTTAAGATGCAAATCAGCTCTTCCCCTGGTGGCGTTGCCGTGGAGGAACCTTCCGACCGGGGGAGGACGGAAGAGAGACCCCGCTGGTGGACGGACGTGTTCGTTCGGCCTGCCTGGATCGCCATGCCTTGAAACCAGAAATCTAATCTCTGTTTAGGTGCCTCTACTTGGGAGTGGGAAGAGGAGAAGATGGCGGGGTCCCTGCCGCACAGCTGGTGGAGAACAGAAGCCCACGCTCAATCTCAGGTCTTCACGGGGGTGGGGGTTGGATGCACCGAAGTCACCCAGAGTGAAGCTGGCCCGGAAGGGGGTCTGTGGGGAAGAGAGTCCCCCTCACTGGGGTCCAGGAGCACCTCTCCCTGGCCTGTGTCGCCAGAGCCCGTGGTGGCCAAAGCAAAGGAGAGCTGCCCACACCAGACTCCTCCCCTCCCGGCTTAGTGAGTTAGAAAACTCAATTCAGTCTAGGAGAAAAAGAAAATGAAAAAGCCAGATTTTTAATCCAGGACTAATCCCCATATAAACCTGTGGATTTGCAGATGTGGATTTGCACACATGCGCGCATGTGCACGCGCGCGCGCGCACACACACACACACACACACACACACACACATTTCCTACCAGTGATTCAAGTCTTTTACTTGTTTGAATTTTACACCAATCAAAAGCATCCTGGCACCTTACCCCCCTACACACACAGACACACACAGACACACACAGACACACACACACACACACACACACACACACACTCTCAAGCATGCTGAGTTGTTTCAAATCCAGACCTGGCTGCGTTCAGCCCCGGGTGCACTGTGCTCTGAGCTTCTTTGCAGACCCCGCCCAGGTTGCTCGCCCTGGACTGGCCCTGTGCTGGGTTTGAGAGGGACAGCGATGTCAAAAATGTTGGCATCCTAGAGGGACCAGCAGCTTTCCAAACTAGCAGATTCTGCCATTTCTTTCTGCTACCCAAATGCATGTGGTTCCAGTGGCGGCTTGGCCAGGCAAATAGATGTCTGTGAGGAGGAGCTGTGTGTGGGGACGCCCCAGCATTTCCTGAGAGGTAGGGAGCTGGGGGTCCATCCTACTCTCCATCCAGCCTCAGCGTTCCCATCCCAGATGGCAGGAGAGCCAAAGGGCCATGTGCCTCCCCGTGAGCAGCTGAGTGGGGAAGAGAAGCCTTGGTGAGTGGCCTGTTGTACTTTTACTTGTCCCGAAACCACCTCAAAACGCAAGATTCTGTGCAGAGGAGCCCATAGGGAGGTTGGAAGGGGAGGCAGAGTGGCCTGGTTTCACCAGTAGCCTGGGGTCCCCAGGCCATGTTAATCTTGGTGCACAAACTCTTCTGTTCTATTGTCAACTCCAAGAGACTTTAGAAACATCCAGATCCAGTGTGGGCACAGATGAGGCAGGTGCCATCGCCCCCAGCCCCCGCCTCTGTGCAGTGCAGCTTCCTGCTGGCCTCCTTGCTGCTGCTCCTGAGATCTTTGACCCTGTCCCTCTGTCAGCGGAGAGCTAGGGGGCATCTGCTGAGGATAGAACAAAGGGTCCCATTTGCATGATTGTCCTGTTAGGGGTCACTTATAACAGGCCATTATCACGTGGCCCCAGCGCCTTGTGGTGGAGATTCCCCTCTGGAAGCATAGACCCTTCCAAGATCAAGAAACCTTAGACTAGGGCCCAGGGCAGGGGCCCAGCCGCAGAGGGCCAGCCTCCCTCCAGAAGGCCTGGTCTCTGGCTAAACTCGCCCTGATCTCGACAGCCGGCATCGACCCTCTGAGGGTCTCCTTTTCTCTTAAACATGCCTTCAGATGTTTCCCTTTGTTGTTTCTTGCCCTACAGATGCCACCTTTGCTGTTGGCTTGATATTTTTCACTGGTTCTTTTCAAACTCTCAATTCTCTGAAAAATTTGCCTTTTTTTTAAACCAGGCCAATCCTATCTCCAGAAATGATCCAGCCAGACTTATGAGCAGGTATTTAAGTAGATAAAACAACTGGTGGCTTCTTCAGGGCCTGGGTGCCATTGCCGGCAGGCAGACTCCAGCCAGGTGAAGACTCCTGAGTGTGTTGATCTCAGCTAATTAACCTCCAGCCCTCCGCTGTGCATCCCAGCAGCCCCTTTCCTCCTGCCGGACCCTGTGATGCATGTGCACATGTGGGCATTTAGTCTTAATTTCAGATAAGTGATACGAATACCCCACTGCCACGCGTCGTGCACAGACGTGTACGCAGACTGCCGAGAGCCACGCTGGACTGTGGCCTCTCCTCTTCCACCCATAATTAATGTGTCCCCTAGGGAAACCCTGAACCAAGCTAACCACTCTGGTCAAGGGGGGGTGCTCAGAGGCATTTTCAGCTGCAATAGCCCCTAGCACCTCAGAAACACGTGGGCATTTGTAGCAGGGCTTACAGTATCTATCTCTGGTTTTGATCCTTGGTGAAGAAGCATTGCTCTTCAGAAAAACCAGTGATTGAATCTGCATGTTGCTCCTCAAAGGAGTGAACAGGAGGCTACTTCTCTGGACTAGCACCAGAAGTAATAGTACTTCCAGTATTGGTGTGGTACTAATGCTGGAAGTGGTAGCACTTTTAGTATTCGTGTGGTGCTAGTCTTAGAAATAGTACTTCTAGTATTAGCAGGGGACTCGTGCTAGAACTAGCAATGCTTCTGGTATTAATGTAGTACGAGTACTAGAAGGAGTACTCTAGTACTGGTATAGTACTAGTAGTAGAAGCAGTAGTATTACTAGTATTGGTGTGGTGCTAGTGCTTCCCTCTACTAGCGCTGTGGCTTTCTGTGGCAAGTTACCCCTTCTCCTGTGAGTATGGTCAACCCTGGATGACCTAGGTGTTCTTTCTACAGCCCAGCCCATCTTTTGGCTAATTCCACTGTGCCTCAGCCTCACAGTCAGATGGGAAAGGGACAGGTGGATCTTCATGCCATGCCTTCATGTTTCTTGTTTTCAAGTTTGGTGGTGATGGAGGAGGTTTGATTGTCTTCTTCAGAATTGGCTATATATAAAAAGCTGTTACTTAGGGAAACCTCACCCAGTTCTATACACACTTAGAAGTCTGACCCAGTAACTCAGAAGCCCCAATAACTTTTATGGTAACCCAGTGACAGGTAAAAGCATTCAAATAATCCCCCAAATCTCTAGACACTTGAATTCAAAGTCAAGAGCCCACTCCCTCATCGCTTAAGCCATATTCTAGCTTTGTGTACTGTAAAGTCGGGGATGTACTGTGATAGGTTTAGGACCACTAGGCTCAGTGGAATTTCAGGACACAGCTTCAGTGAATAAGTGATCTCAGACTAGGGACTTGGTCCTCCTTAGATTGAAGTCCAAATACAAATTTCACCACTTTTGTGTGATCATCATCAGTTGTTAGAGTATCTAGGAAGTGTTCTTCTATCCTCATAGTATGTAACTTCATGACATCTTATCTTTATAAGTGCTTAACATGATCCAAAATAACCAGAGGAGCAAGGCCTGGGTCACCCTGGCCTCAGCAGGGGGCTGCAGTTCAAGCACAGCCTCATAGATGAGAAGGTGCAGAAATGCACCAGTATAAAGAAAAACCCCAAATGCTGAGCAAGTGTCAGCCCTGGCTGCTGACAAAAGGCCCAGAAGGGGCATCATTGAGAAAACCATGCCTTTAATGTATGTGAGAATTTTCCCCTTCAGTTTTCATGGAAAAAAAAAAAAAAAGAAAACTAGAATCAGAATGAATAAAACTCTAATGCTGGATCCACATCTTTGGCCAATTAACCTCATACCTCAGTTTCTCTGTGCTTAAAATGAAAACAAGAGTAGATGCCATGTGCAAAGTATTGGGAATAGGTTTAAAAAGTGAAGATTTACAAAGACTGTGGCCCCAGTCGCCCTGGGGTATTCTTGAGTTCACTGGGCTGTGGCGACTAAATGCTTTTCATTTAAGATGTTCACTGTTACCTCTCAGTGAGGTGGGGAGATGGTCAGGAGGAGATGTGGGCTTTAGTGCATGGTTCCCTGCTGTGTGAGCAGTGGACCCCAGCTGAAGTCAGGGCTTCATCCCAGACACAGCAGTGCCACTGCCCAGGCACTGTGAGGCCAATACACTGCCACTAGGTCACTACCCTTGCTCATTGCTGCTTTTGACTCTCCAAAGAGGTCCCTAGTCGTTCTGCTCCCTTGGGGATTGCTTAAAAGCTCCTGAAAGAGCTGCTGGTCAGTACCTCACAGCGCTCCGTTGCTCCGTTTCAGCACCTCGGACAGCTACCCGCTCCACAGACTCCAGATCCCTTTCACCCCCACAGTGTATGCGCTCCTTCCCCTTAAGGCTGCCACCAAAGTGAGCGTTCTGGGGTGGGATCAGTGAGGTCACCTAGAGGAGTACAACGGGGACAGGAAGGGTGTCGTCCTCTGGGGGAAGAGCAAAGGGTGGGCTGGTCCCAGCCACAGGGATGGAAGGAACACTCAGCTCCCGTGAGACAGGTAATAGGTAGATTTTTACTGTGTGAGTCTGGAACTTACAGAAATACTCAGTGCAATGGTATAGACATACAGAGAAGAAAATAACTGTGATATTTCCCCCCTTACACCATTACTGGAAATGCCCCAAATATAAACTGGAGTTTCCCCCTCTGAGAAAAACTATTGTCAAACTGTCAACGTGTGACCTCCAAATCCAGGTGCCATGCACCCTGAAATTCCTTGGCTTCTGTGACAGAGAAAGTCCTTCTGGAAGCTGGAGTGAGTGTTGGAACACACAAAAGAGAGACCTTGTGGCCCACCGAGCTGATGGAGGAAAAGCACAAAATGCCATACCCACCTGTAGTTAGGATCCCAAAGAGATGCTGAATTAATAGCCAAAAAAAAAATTTAAAAAAGTTCAATCAATGGACTGGTGACAAGTCAGGGCGGGTTTGATGGGAGCCACGTCACCCAGGGGCCCAGGAACCAAGGACGCTCACTGTCCCACTGTCTCGCTTTCAAATCTCCTCCAGGACCCATCCAATGTCATCAGACACACAGTGACTCCGTCAGGGTCCCATACCCTCTGTCCTGCATTGAGGAGCGGAGTCACCACCCCAGAGAGCGACAGGATATTCATGGAGGAAACGTGCTCATGGCAGACTCCGAAAGCGAAGTGTTCATATTCCGAATCAGACACGCGCTTCACTACGAATTTGCATCTTGCCTCTGTACTGCTTGCTATTTTTTAACGATAGGAGAAAGCATATCAGTTTATTTTAAATATGAAATATATTGCTA